GTGTCTCCCGTTGTTTATTTTATTAAAACCGGTTGAAATGGCTCTTTATTTGATGGCACTGATGTAATCTGTCCCTCCGCGCTTACCGTACTGACGTGTCGAAAATTCTAAACGTATATTGTGGGAAATGAAACGGCGCCGAATGTCTGGAAATTGCAATCAGTAGTCGCCAAGTCTGAAGACATCATAATGATCGCCCAAATATTACGGATGTTATGACGACGGCGTTTTCGTCACCAGAGAGGCACTCACGACAAAGCTTGTTCAACTTAAAGGTAAAGTTTGTAGAATTTAGCGCTAAGTAGTTGTGAACGAATAAATTGCAATGAGCTCTGCTTGAAATTTGTGCGTTTTGTAGCAGGGGGCGCTACGGTGCAGCAGAGCGACCGAACTTCGTGAAACTATCACTAAATACATCAGCAGAGTTGCAAGCACAATGTCATCCCAAACGACTTTTAGCATTAGCCCAACTAACGTAGTAAGTGGATGGACTTTGTTAAACGTGCCGTAGTTATAATTTGAAAACTACGTTGTCGAATTTTGTCTCCTTCGAGTATCTGTAGCAGAAAGATGGCGGCGAAACATGGCAGCCTCCGTAGGGGAGAAACGCCGGATGCAATATAATTAGCGATCACTTCACCGACAATTACATTTTAAAAATTACGTTGAAGGGATAGAACTTTTTTTTTGTGCATATCATTGAAATACATAGTGGGTTTTAGAAACAATGAATAGTGAAAAATCAACACATTTCAACACACAATCCCATTCATGAGAGAAGCCCTTTGTCCATAAAATACAAAATATTGGGACGATATTGTCAGAGGTTGATGTGGGCATAAATAGAGATGTCCACATATATTTTGGTGAAGCGTGATTGTAGTTATCTGACATTTTGAGCAACGTACGTTTCTTTTTTTTTTTTTTAACACGGATGTTAACATTTAGAGTGCTGCTTCAAGAGCCAATCTATCAAGTCCCCTTGGCTCTCGTTATTTACAAATACGTATATGTTTTGTCTCATCACATTACATAATGTGACACAGATAGAAAACTTCAGTTTGAAAACTGTGCAGGATTCTCGCACGCAAACTTTGGCATGTTCGTCGCACATAGGCCTGCGAAACTAACATTTTCAGCAATTCCGTGATTGGCTGTCACCGCAGATCACACTTCAATCAATCAAAAATCACACCACTCTCCTTCAGATTTTGTCTTAGTGATAAGCAACTCAACATTCGTATTTTAAGAACACAAAAACAGATGCTGTCGTAAAAAAAGAAATCTAATCAAATAATAATGTTTATTTTTAGAACTGCATGCCTCAAATGGGAGCACCACCACCTTGGTCGCCGGGCACGGCCCTCGAAGGCCCGCTTGTGGCGACGGGCTTTGTGTACACATACAAACACACCCACAAAACTGGCAGATGGCAGAGCACAAGGTGGACGCGGTTGTAAAACAAGCCTGCTCTCTTTGTCCACCTGCAGCAGCCTTTAACAGCGTCTCTATCAGATGGCGGCTCTTTAGCAAGGTGTGGCTGATGGCCGATGCGGGGAGGCCCACTTCAAGGGCCGAGCCTCTCCCGGCTTACCACATTGGAATATTTTTGGTTTCCAGAGGTGGCAACTGTACTCGCACTGTGACTGAGTAGAAGTACAGATACTTGTGTAAAACTAGAGAGTAGAAGTACTGATTCAACTCCTTCAGTAAAACAAAAAATAAATAAAGGAAAAAAAGTAAAATTGAAATCTTACTTTTAGTCATATAATGTATCTGTTTTGATGAATTGGCCCATGAAAAAAAAATACATGTTGCTTCACGTCAAATCATTTCCCACTTTTATTAAATTACATCGAGCTTATATTAGAAGTGAAAAACATTGCTCATTGTGTGGTTTGATCCCGGCTGCGGCCTTCCTGTGTGGAGTTTGCATGTTCTCCCCGGGCCTGCGTGGGTTTTCTCCGGGTACTGCGGTTTCCTCCAACATTCCAAAAACATGCATGGCAGGTTGATGGAGCACTCAAAATTGTCCCGTAGGTGTGAGTGTGAGCGTGGATGGTTGTTCGTCTCTGTGTGCCCTGCGATTGGCTGGCAACTGGTTCAGGGTGTCCCCCACCTACTGCCCGAAGACAGCTGAGATAGGCTCCGGTGACTCCTGTCAGGATAAAGCGGATTGCAAAATGGATGGATATTTCTGTCAAGATCCCGTGTGAGACACAAGGTGATGAAGGGATTCAACAACTGCATTCCTGGTGCCGGATTTGCCCGAGACATTATGATGAACGTGTCCTAATTGTCATGGAAATAATGGTTGTTATGGCAAGTTTTCAAGATCTAATCACAGCTTTGTGGCTGTCTTTAGAATAATTGTGGGGTGGCGATAAATGAAATACTAGCCAAAAGGGCGCGGAGACAGAGACCGATGTTTTTGAACGGGAAGTCTTCTTTCATCATGCAATTTAATTTTCTGCATGTGCACTTCACCACTAGATCACCATTCAAATTAAGAGATGGTTTGAGGCAAACACGCATTAAGTACGTCATAATTCTTTACGTTTCCATATTGTTATTTTGTGTATTTTTTTTCCAAGTGACATTTTTATGTTGACATTTAAAAAAAAAACTTTATTTACCAAATTTGTAAATAATTTCAGCAATATAAATTTTGAAAAAAAGAATAAAATATTCTTCTTTGGTCTCAAACTAGTTGAGATGGTCCAACAGCGCCTCTGTTGGTTTTACCGCAGCACTGCAATCCATTTCCCTTCAATGGCTTCAATCCAGAATGACTCCGCATTCAGTTCCACCCAGTTGACGCAACTCTTTACCAAACAGCTGACCGATTGTTTATGATGCTGATTGTCATGGATAGAAGTTAAATACCTGTTTGAGTTTTCGTGTCTGTACTGTAGATTTTTCACGTTTCTTTGTTGTGTGTTCACAACACTGGCAATAATTCATATCCCAGAGACGCTCGAGTCAAGCACGATGCTTTTTGTTTGAAATTACATTTGTTGCAAAATCATCATCATCATCATCATCCTCCTCATACTATTATGACTACTACTACGTTCATGATGAACTCATTGGCCTACGCTGCTGCATTGTATTTTGATGTTGGTAGTTATGGTGCTGCAGGGAGAGCTGCTCCAAGTATTTGTTTTGGCGGTGGTACTTGGTGTAAAACAAAACAAAACAAAAACAACATCGATCATGGCTGACGCATTGCTGCTTGTAGAAAAAAAAAAAGTCGTAACAATAGCTTTGACCCTTTGTGTTCAGACACAATACCGTCACGTTGACACAACAGAGGAGGCCTCCAGGGAGTTAATATTGGATGAATCGAAACACAAAGTGGCTTTGCAATACAAAACTCTGCTGTGGAAAGACTGTCCTAGTGGTAACTGTTGCCATGGCTCCCACAACAGGGCAATCTGCCGATTGTTTACATGGGTGGAGTGGATTGGAACGGAGTGGAGTGGACTAGACCGGAGTGGAGTAGGGGGAGGTTTGATGAGCGGCAGCGTGGCAGATGAGATGATTGTGTCTGTGGTTGTCCAGGCCCTGCCAGGCTGAAGGGTTGAATGCACACGGTGGAAGAAGAGCGTGCAGAGCAGTTGAAAGGGTTGACGCTGACCAGTAGGCCAAGTGGATGTATCACGACCATAAACCCAAATGAACCCAAATCAACTCACTTCACGAGGAGAAGTTTGGCAGAGAGTGAACAATTCCTCCAAAAAGAGGCGTCATTCAAGCTGTTCAATGCCACTCCTCGTTGACGTTTCCTGTCAAACTAAACATGACATCACAAGTGTATTTGAAGCAACGACATAATTTTGTCTCAGCTAGATTAATGCCAATGCTATTTTCATGCCCAGCGCAATTTAACGGCTGGTGGGGTTTTCTTTGGATGCCAAAATCTGGTTATCATACGTACAGTGAGTTCAAGTGGACGAAAATGTGGAGCGGTTTCTACGCTTGTTCTTCCACAGCAGACTTGCCTTTAATTAAGTATGACTTGATGGCTCTTGCTTTGTGCACTGGGAACAGAAAATGAAACGGACGCCACACACTGTCGATATCAGTCAGCATCATCAAATATATGAAATGCTGCATACTAATGGACAGGGAGCGACAATAGGCAATCCCACAGGGTAATCCGCCCTATATTTCTCAACAGCAAAATGGTGGCTACTCTTATATATATGACAGCACCTTAGCTGGACTTCTACAGCACATTACTTTGCTGGCCAACATGGGAAATTATTTTCCCTTTTTAATTTGTTTGTACTGTGTTTATCTTGTTTTTAATGGTCTATGCTTTTTCTGGAGCAGTTTTTTTTTTGTGTGCGTGTGTGTGTGTGGTTTGCGCAGGTGTGGGTGTGGACAGAACAATGAAGCCGTGTCCATGTGTTGTTCGCTATTCACAAATTCACATATTTTTTGTTTCTGTTGTGTGGAGCAGCTGGAGCCTAAGCTTAACTATTCTCTGAGAAAAAAAAAACTCCCTAGTCGTGTTTTTTGTGCTGTTAGATGGCACAAGATCAGACAGTTTGTCCCTATTCACAGCAGGGCGAGGTCCCGATCTCCTGCGAATAGCAGGGGGATTTACTGCATTGATGACTTGAGGCTCAGGCTCCAGCCTTTAGGAGTTCCAGTCTAACGTGTGACTGATTCATCGATGGGATCTGTTGTCCCCCCCCAAAATTGTTTTCAGAATCGGAACAACCCGATTAAGACCGACATGTCTTCCCTGTATGGTTGAGTGTGCTGGTGCTCCTCTCTCTTTCAGAGTGAGCACTTACTGCGAGAGAAGAGGATGCAAGCGGACAAGCAACAAGCGCAGGAAGGACTTCAAACTCAAATGGTGTGAGACCAAATTTCCACGCAGCTCCTTCCACTTCACTTTTAATTCATTTGAAAGACGCCTTCAACTCTGCAATTTTTATTTTATTTTTTTGTAAGAGTTAGAAATATACCTTATTCATAAAAACACTTTATGCTGTACTTTGAAATACTTTCTTGTAATGTACTTCTGATGTGCGATTTAGTCTCAAAGTTGGTTGAAAACAGTTGTTACGGCGCACTAACCGCTAACTCTGTCGTGCTACACGGGAAGCCGAAAATGGAAGGTGTTTATTCCGACAACCTTCCGTATGGATGTGAAGGAAGAGCGAGAGGCTTTCTTTGCTCAGTAGGAGGGTACGGATTCGATATATCTATTATCCTCGAATGCACGCACACAACACTGGTTGAACAGGCTTTGTGTTTGGTTAGCAGGCTCCAATATCAAACAGTAAAAAAAAAAAAAAAAAAAAAAAACGAATCGTCGTTGTGAGGCAATGTTAACACAACAGGTGCCGAGGTGGCGGTTTCATGTACAGTGGGAAAAAAAAATAATGCACTTCACCTCCCATAAGGCCCTGATAAAATCACTTGAGGAACATGCTGTTGCCATAGCGATGAATAAGCAAAGGGCAGGGCCGAGGTACAAACACAATTAAAATGACTAAGTGAAGGCAAGATTTACACTCTAATGTAAGAATCGCACCACGATCCCAACTCCAATACTTTCTCAGGTAGAACCTCTGAGTGTGAGCTCCAAATGAAAAAGAAAAAAAGGCATCAACAAGTCCGCTACTCTCTAAAGTGGTGTGATGACGTGTGCACGTGCGCCCCCTGCTGTCTCTACCTGCAGGGCAGGCCATGCAGAAGAAGAACCCGCTGTACAGCCACATAAGGGAGGAGAGGGCGTGGTCCATGGAGAGCTTCACCGCTTACGTTAACGACCGTTTTCAGGTCGCCATGGATGTACCGGGGGACCGGGTGCTGGGCGCCTTCACAGTGAGTGCGGCTGTTGTTGTTTAGTGGCTCGCAGGGACCAATTAGCAGTCAGGGAATGATGCGGATTTAATGTGCTCTTAATTGAGGTGAAGGCAAGGTTGGTTGAGCTCATTTCTGTCGGGCTGTAACATCTTCTTATGTTTTACAATAATGATATTCATGATGGGGAGAATGCGACCCGGTGGTCCAGTGGCTAGCCTGTCGACCTCACAATGCAGAGGTTCAATTCCAGCTGCGGCCTTCCTGTGTGGAGTTTGCATGTTCTCCCCGGGCTTGCGTGGGTTTTCTCCGGGTACTCCGGTTTCGTCCCACATTCCAAAAACATGCATGGCGGCCTGATTGAACACACTCAATTGTCCCTACGTGTGAGTGCGGCTGGTTGTTCATCTCTGTGTGCGCTGCGATTGGCTGGGAACCGGTTCAGGGTGTCCCCCGCCTGTTGTATAGTCTTGCGGCTGGATGGATGGATGGCTTGTGGAGCGGACGATGAGAAGAAAGGAGCGTCAGCGCAGAGCGCCGATGCCTATGTGGAACTGGGGGTCGCCGCTTGGAATTGAAGCGGATTTACATGGGACAGGAAATGTGAGCTCTTTTTTCGTCAATGGATGCTACAACTTCTTGTTTGCTTTCAAACTTAGCTTGTAGCAGACATGTGCACATTTTCGGCATGGCGCCTCTGATCCACCGGTGAAAGGACACTTTTGAGTCTCTCCTCTTTCATCTAGAACTGCTTCAAACAACAAAGTGGATACAGAAAAAGTGGTTAAGATTGCAGGACTGTCTGTGTCTTATGTGTTATGTTGTGTTATTTTGTCATTTTATGTTAACTGTTCTGTTTTTGGCGGCGCGGGTACCCGCAGCGGCTCCTCTCTCTCTCCTGTGGTTGCATTGTGGTTGAGAAAGAAGAAATTTCATCTGTGCTGTATGTTGCACATCGAGCATATTTGGCAATAAAAGCTGACTTGACTTGTTTTTATGCACAAGGGCATCCAATTTTTTTTTTTTTTATGCTGCTCATCCTGCTCTGGGTATAGCGGGTGGCTATCCATGCTGCTTACAGCAAAGTCGGATGAATGCATCACTAAACTGTATCGATATAGTCATTTTCTGTAAATGCTTATATTTCTGGTCACATGATGAGAGTCATTTCACACAAACACAAAAGCGTGCAGACAAACGTGGATGGTTCTGACCAAGTCTGTCCGCAATGTTGCTGCAATTCTAACCATCTCAGCTTTCTTGCTGACTCATCTTGCATTAATCCCATTTGGAAATCAGAATTTGAAGAAGCATGGAAACACAACAATCCGCCACAAGCCATTGCCTCCAAGGAAGGTTGAATGCATCAAGAGTTTTTTTTTTTTTTTTTGAGACAGGCACTCGTGTCAGAAACCGAAATGTGAGGCAGCTGACAGGAAGGAACAAACAACCACACTGTGCTTCACCGTTTTTTTCTTCATTCTTCAATTCCTCTTCAGACGCCTGAACACCATTGACGTACCGGCCTGGATGGAAACAGTACATACTGGTGGAAAAAAAAAAAAAAGAGGGAACTCGAGATTAGCAGCTCGCCCCTCCTCCTCTGTTCATTTGCCCAATATCCTCTTTTAGGCCCTTTTTGTATTAGTTTGCGCCTGGTTGGAGTGTGGCAAACACACAGTGGGGAGATGCTGCTCACGGCGTCGTGGCGGATCTGACAGACCGAGCGCAAAGAGAGGAAGCGAAAACCTTGTCTGTGATGGGATGCTGCAGTGTGACCCAGAGGCACACCGGCGTGGACGAGGTGGGTCCTGATGAGATCGAGCTCCTGGAACTCTCTGGGGACCATTTAGGGTAAGATGTGTACACTTGAACAAGACATGAAAAGAAATGTTCGGTGCCGAATGGGCTGTCACTTTCTGCAGGAGGATGTGAGCATCTGTCCCCCCCCCCCTCAGTGATGTGTCTGTCAACCTTGGTGGGTTTTCTTTGCCCTCCTTCTGTAACGTCATCTCGTGTGAACCGATGTATAAGTGGTAAGCGTTAACGTAGAAGCTAAATCAGGGGTCTCCATACTTCTTCCATCGAGGGGCCGTAGAGAAGAATTGAAGGAACCAGGCCAGGGCTCTCCCCCCCCCCCCCCCCATTGTTTTTTTGTATTTTTTTTTTTTTTAAACGGCGAAAACCACACCCCCAAACACTTGCTCTCTTTTCAAAAGCATTTTTTTTCGATGACATCGGGTACTAAAACAAATCAAGTGTTGGCTACTTTATCGCAAATGAAATTTAGACCAACACACAAAAATGTATTTCATGTTCATTGGACTTTGGCCACTCCGAGTCTAAAGATTCATTCCAACTATTTGCGAGGCAAACCACTCACATTCAAACGCTTTGGAGCCATCGGCAGAACGTGAGCTCATTGTCTCGTATTTATGAAACATCAACTTGGGAGCTCAGTGATGAAGCGCTCATGTGATTAGGAGATTACAGCAACACAAGGGAGGGCGCTAATACAAAACTGACAACGAGGGGACAAATCCGTGCTCATTCCAAGACTAAAAGATTACCGGGGGCTAATCTATAACTGCGGCCGTGTGTGTGTGTGTGTGTGTGTGTGTGTGTGTGTGTGTCCCCCCCAAAAAAAAAAGAGAGTGTGTGTGTGTGTGTGTGTGTGTGTGTGTGTGTGTGTGTGTGTGTGTGTGTGTGTTTAATTATCACATTGTCACTCCTGTACTTCTCATGAAGCTCATCCTAAGATTTTATGTACGAAGCAGTGTAACATCAGTGCGGACATTTGATCCCAATTGTGGAACGGCTTCAAGAGAATGAAACATTCTAAATCGAATCGAATAAAAATAAATTTAAAAAATGCAATGATCGGCCACAATAAGTACATTTAATAATAATAATAATAATTTTAATGACAGGAAGGAATATAACCACCTCGGTCGACAATTTGTTCCCTGCAACGTGGATTGTGAAGTAATTGTAATTACAGTTTGCAAGTTTATTTGTTAGCGGGATTGTGTCAAACCTACTTAACTGATTTCAGGTTGAATTTGTGGAGGGGGGGGGGCAAAAGGGGCCTGAGAATGAGCATTTGAGGGGGATCGAGATCGAGGCGGGATTTATTCAGCATTTGACATTTTCCTTTATTTCTGAGTGGTTGTCATCACCAAATTCAAGCTAGCTACCATTGTGCCGTTGAGCTGAGATTCAGACTCTCGTCGTGGTATAGAATCGGGACGCGGTTTCGTTTCAGCAGGGTTAAAGGTGCACGTTTTGTATGTGTGTGCGTGTCTCTCTGTCTAGTCTGGTAATAATCTGATTATGTCTGTCGGCAGGAGGTTCACGACCGTCAGTTGTCGTGTTTTAAGCGCGCAAGACTGACCCATTGGCAACCCCCCCCCCCAAGTCTCCCCAATGAGTGCTGTCCGCATTGAGTGCGCTTGTTCACAGGTCTAAATGTTGTTGTTGTTGTTGTTGTTGTTAGCGTGTGGAGTTTGGGAGAGAGCAGGCTTCAACTGTCGGTGAGGAGCAGCAGAGACGACAAGCAGCCGCCATCATGCAGCACTTCAGTGCAGCAAATGGAGCAACGTCGCAATCATCCTGTACGTGTGCGTGCGTCGGTGTGCTTGCAGTGACAAAGACTTTTTCCATGCGCTCCTTTGTGATTCAAAGTTGACAGGAAGTGAAAAAGTCATTGAAATACTTGGACTAAAATTGAAAATGAGTGTAGCAATTCACTGCACGTCTATACATAATTACAATAGTAACATTTGTAGAAAGCAAGTTTATATTAAAGTCAAAATAATAAAAGAAATAGTAGCGGTAAAAAAGAAAAAGAAATGGTATCTTTAATAATTAGTCACCGTAGATAGTTCTCTAATGCTAACGTTCTCAAACTGGAGTCACTAGATTGGGGCCCATAAAATTATTTGTAATACAGTTTATGTCATGTAATTTTTATTTTGTTGTTTTTTTTTATTTATTCTCTTTATTTTATTTTTTTTTTTTTTTGAAGTGCATACCTCCATATGGAGGTATGTGTTTCAAAAAAACATACTGGGCCAATGACTCCTCCCAACCTTACCTTTGGGCCAAGTAAAACCTCCGATTAATTGATATCGATTTGACATCCCTTCTTGTGCAGCAATTCTAGCTGCAGACGACTGAATTTGTTTTTTTTTTTTGATTGTAATTTAATTATCCTTTCTTTTAAACTAGCCAGGAATACTTAAACAGAAACTTAAGTCACGTTTGTTTGGCATTTTAGATTATGAGGTGTTCCTTTCAGTTAAAAAACAAAACAAAACAAAAAAAAAACAGCCACCGCTCCATTTTCTAACAGCTTGTCCAGCAGCCTGCCCTCTGAGTCCCAGGTGAGTTGGCCCCCATCCAAGCTGACCATTCAGACTCACCTTCAGTCACACCGCAGGACAATTTAAAGTTTGCTCTTCAATTAACCTATCGTGAAAATTGGCCGGCCACTGAGAAAAGCCACCCAAGTTCCCAAACACAGGTGGTCATGCTGACTCCTCTCAAAACTGCAACGTGGCCAGAATAAGACCCCAAAAGATTTGTGGTGTGATTCCGTGTTTGTGTCTGTAGGGGGTGCTGTGGGGCAAGAGCAGAGAGGAGCTGCACCGGAGGATCTTCTCCCAGCAGCCAATCAGAGGTTGGGAAGGTCGACCTGCTCACATGTACGGAGAGATCATCCACTCCTCCCTCATGTGTCTGCACAGCAAACATTCCAAGGTGAAATATACCGCACACTCAAAACTGTTGGCCATGAGGATGCATTGTTTATTTTTGTTGCAATTACACAATTCTGAACGCTTTATTCTATTTTTTAAAAAGCCTTTTTAACATGTCAGGAGAGCCAAGTGGTGCCATTTCTCATTTCCCCTTCATAACAAAATATCCGAAGTGTCAAATCCACGTCCAGAACATTTTAACCATACCACAGTTTGGCTTTAGCACTTCGATTCATCCGGCAGGCTAGTTTACCAACCGGTCGAGTAGAAGCGCCTGTGGCTAAAGCCAAACTTTTGCAGCGGTTTACTTTGTGGACCTGGATTTGACACGTCTGCATAATATGCAATGTTTCCAAAGGAAAACTAGAGCTTTCAAAAGCTCTATCATCACCCGACCTAACGCTTAAGCGACAACTCATCCCAGCGTGTGCGTTTTATTTCTATTTGTGTCGTGTTCCGCTTCCTTTTGTCCTATTTCTAACATTCATTTTTCCCCCCCCACACAGGAGAAGCGGGAGCATTTCCTGGTTTTATTCTCTTTCCACCTGCTGCTCCTTTCCTTGGATCACACAAAGCAAGACTTCATTTATGAGGTACCGCAGGATTATCCTTTGTCCTTACATATGTTGCAAATGTACTTGCTAACTTTTTAATTTTTTTTCGCAGGGAATGCTTCCACTCTCCGGTCTTTCCTTTCAGATCATCCCGATGGACAATGACAGCTGTCAGTCACCACACATGTTTGAAATAAGCAGTAAGTGTGCAATATAGTCCAGACCAATTCCTCATTGTCTTCTTTGTCTCTGGTAAATGTTGGAGGACTTTAGTTGGCCCGCTTCCTCGCTGACTTGAATGAAACAAATTTAACACCATCGGGTTATAAAAATGTAAAAGTTCTCACCATCACGGTACTGTGCAACCAAACTTGCTAGCTTCATAAACGATACCTCAAAAGCTTCATTTTTATTAACAACTTTACAAACTAGACAGTAGTAAATAAAAATGCAGTGATCCCTCGCTATTTCGCGGTTCGTTTATCGCGACTTCAATGCATCGCATTTTTTCAAACATTCATAAAAAAAAAAAAAAAAAATCATATACATGGAGTACAATACTGTATATGTTGCTCTATGTGACTCGCTGTTGTTTTGTTGACTTTCGCAGCTTCTCGCGGACCGTTTACGGACTTATAAAAAAAATTATATGTTAATCGGTCGCTACTTAGCGGATTTTCATTTATCGCGTGTGGTTTTGGTCCCATTAACCGCGATAAACGAGGGATTACTGTATAACCCAATCACCCAAAATGTACACATCTAGCACTACTAAAAGCCTTTACACAAGACTTGGTTCAAGGAAAAAAAAAAACGATTTCTATTGAATTGTCGGTACATTGCAAAAATACATTTACAGTAGTTGTTGCCATTAATATTGCAGTGATTCACAAAAAGTATGCAAAGGGCCCTTCAAGTAGAACATTAATGTGTGCTGTTGCTTGTGTTGTACAGGTTCAATGGTGCACCCGAAGATCTTCATATGCCCCAATGCTGCGGAGCTACACACATGGATGAAACACATGAAAGACCGCAGACATAAGTCAAGGACTCAACCATTGAGTCCTTCCCACTGTGCTCTCTCTTATCTAGTAATGACGATCGACTTGTGACCATCTTACACAAATGTGAAATGTCTGTACGTGACACATAAATACTAAACTGACTTTGTGTGTTGCGTCCGCAGCTGCCTTGCGATGAGCACTGGAAAAGAGAGGAGCTGAAGAAATACTTGCTGCACGCTCCTATATGGGAGTGGGAGGGTTCGCCTATACAACACATGGGCCCGCCAGGATACGTCTCGGTGGTCCATATCATCAACACACACAGACAGGTACTGTCTCATCATAATCTGGCCTGTAATGTGAGGACAAACAGCTGACTTGGATGACCTCAACAGCATGATCGCAGCACTTTTGCGGTCAACTGCGATTCTTTCAGTGATGATGATCTAACTTTAATTTGATCGACTTTAGTAATTTTACAATTGTACAAAATTTTTTTTTTTGTCCTGCCTACCGAAAACGTAAAAATACGACAAAGAGACAGAACTCCATACGGTGTGAAGCAGTAAAAGACAGATTTGTACAACAGTACATGCCTCCATTAGCCACGCCCGAAAACCTTGGAGTCCTCAACTGATTTATTTTGCGCAGCCCTTTCAGTTCAGATGTTAATGTTGGAACTTCAAGGCACCACTCTACTTAGGACATCAGCTATGACTTTGCGAGACATGTTTTATTGAAACTGCCTTTTGTTGTTCCAGGGCCTCCAAGAAAGACTCATGATTCTCTTCCCTCAAGACATCCTGCTGCTGTCGGTGGACAATAAGCAACTCAATATCACATACCAGGTATTGTCAAAGACAAGCTGCCGTTCGCGATGACCGAGTCAGACTCCGTCCGAGGACCTGTTTCCGAAATATCGGTCCGAGTAGGAGTAAACGTGTCATGTAAGCAGACGTTCTCAAAAGTATATAGATGCAAAATACACTCAGATAAATGCCAGTCTGGAACTTTTGTTTCGTTTTAGTTGAATAATGGGTGTTGATATTTTCAGTGCAATCACAATAATATTTATAAATATTAATACATGCTGTTATCCCCCCCGCCCCAAAAAAAGGGCAGGCTGCCTCGTCGAGGTGTCAGAGCGACCGAGAAATCAGCTCTGCCCGGACGACTTGAGTTTGAGCTGCAAGGTGTGTAAACGTTAGGATCGTTTGTTAAACGCACAAAGGTGCATGTGCCGTATTCAATATGACTGTTTTGTTTCAGGAGAGCTGGTGGAGACCCTGCACGTCTCGTGCACCTGCCTGGAAGATTATCAGAACTGGATTTTTCACTTGCAGCAGGCGTGACTGACGCGTATTCTCAACATAAAATGCTCATAGTGATACTTGGTTCAACACTCGGCAGTCCTCGTCTTCATCTCAGGTTTCACCCGGAAAACTCAATAGTTGAAATTGACGCGTTACTACTCTTTGGTACGATCAAATGAGGGCTAATAGCATTTGCGCTCAGCTCATCTGTCAACATGTAAAATGCAACCGCATTCATAAGACAAACATTTCCCCCTTCCACTGTCGCCAGACGGCGTCCCACTGCACCAACACTCGTGCCAAAGGTGCCCGGGGGTCGCAAGAGGGCATCACAACTGACCCATATCATATCAAGGGAGATATTTGAATGCAGATTAGTTTCGCTTTGACTGAGTGTAGCTCAAATAAAATGTGTACGTTGTGCACCGATGGATGTGTCACAAAAAGGTGATCATGGTTGGAAGAATGTTTTGAATGGTTTGTTCACATTTTTTTGTTGTTTTTGTTACCCAATACATGTTGTAAAATGGGTTCATTTTTGTCATACTTTAAAATTGCTTGAGGACGCACAAATATTTATATATACAAATATTTAAAATATAGTCGCATCCCGCCAAACACGGTATTTGTGATCAGATTACTGTATGTTAAAACAAATTGACATAAATTAGAATGAATGCATAAAATGACTGAGCTATGTTCCACATGTAGTTAAAGACAGCGCTTAAAACAATTTCTTTGGGCATCAGTCAAATGCAAGCCATATGGCATGAAATTAAGAGCATGTTTCAGTCATGGTTAAGTCAAGTTTATAGCCGTGAAGCACAAAGTAGTCTTCCCAAGCCCATGGTTGACAGAGATCCAACAACATTACCTCATCTGAACTCCCAGAACAAACCTAATGAAGGTTCCTGCTCCATAATGAGAGGGCTGCAATGGATGCCAAATAGGCAACACAATATGCTAAATGCTATTTAGCTTTATTTTAAGCAGCAGAGAGACTGGGCATTGGTGAGGACTATTACAGGTTGCAATATTTGAGAACCTGAGCATCCAAAGTCTGAAATGAGTACTTCCACTTTCCTCCCCTGTATTTTCAGTGCAAGCGACAAAACCTGTTTGTCGACAGGCAAAGGGGGTTCCGCGGGGTGGGTCTTCGTCACTGAAGAGACAAATCCATTGGAGGTGGCGTGGTGACGGACAAAGCAACGCTCCTTCGTTGCGGATTGTTCTTGATCTCTTACTAGTATCATTTTGATGCTAGCAAGAGATCAAGAATGATGAGAGATGCCATTCGCTGCCGATCGCCACATGCTGTCAGCTCCAGGAATGATATTTGTCAGTCACAAATACACCGGCTTTATGTTCAATTCTTTTCAGCTCAATCTGAAGAAAGGAAAAAAAACAAAAACAACATACAGGAAATCTCTATTTAGTAAATGGTCATGAGTAGCTAATTTAACAGTTATATATATATATATATCAAAATGGGTTTTATGTAATAGACAAACAAATATTTGTGAATTACACTACCGTATTTTCCGCACTAAAAGCCTTTCATTTCCTTAAAAGCTCACAGCGCGCCATAAAATCCTATGCGCCTTGTGTATGGTCATTATGGGAATATTTCGACCCCAACATGGCTCCTTGCTAGAGACATGCTGACAACCAAGAGTTCAAACTTAAGGCAATCGGTTTCGCAGTTGAACACGGATATAGAGCAGCGGCAAGAGAGTTCAACGTTAAGGAGTCAATGTTGTAACTTGCTGTTAGTTAAGTGAACTGTGTCGCTGCTTTATTAAATACATTTCACTGAAATGTGATCGCTCTTGTTGGTGTTTCCTTGAGCGTAGCTCCATCTAGTGGATGCATTGTAGATTGCGTCTTATAATGCCCAATGTATGAAAAAAATTACAAAATAGGCCATTCGTTGAAGGTGCACCTCATAATCCAGTGCGCCTTTTAGTGTGGAAAATACGGTACTTAAGTACTTAAGAGTCCTACGATGATTGCACGACTGTCTGTGTCCTATGTGTTGTGTTGTGTTATTTTTGTTATTTTGACTTCAAGATGGCGCCGCGTGAGTGGCTGCCTTTCCATCAGCTCCTATATTTTGTTGTTCTACTTCTTCCATTCATAACTTTGCTGCAGTGAATTGGGAATTTCTCCATTGCGAGACTAATATAAGTCAAGCAGTTGAATTGGATTCTTCATATTATCCATCCGCCCAAACATACGACATGATATCACGATTGCTAAAATGTGAACTCCCAACACCGGATGTCATGTTACCTTCAGCGGCGATGTCTGATTGCACTTCTGGTAGTTTATTGCCACAGGGAGGAGGCGGGGCATTCCTCTTGGCCCTTCTTACGTCCGATGCAGTTGATCTCTGCAAAAAAAAAAAACCCACATCGTCATTTCTGTCCAACCATATGAAGTCCGCAACAAAAAGACCCAGACTTGTGTCCCGAATGCATTCTTTAGAAGTCTCTTCTGGCTTACCTACTTCATGTGTACAGGCCTGATAACGATTGAGCAAGGGATTTTTGTCAGCGGTGTCCTGAGCAAACACCTCCCTTAGTCCATGCTCATTTAAAGTCTTGGCAATGTCCAGCGACTCTTTGGACTGACGGTCCCTCAGAAGGACAGTTGTCTCAAGTCTCAAGTCGCACTTGTCGCACACCAACGGAAGGAGCAGCTCAAGGGGCAACTGGGGGTTCACTCTCAGCACAGTCTTCTGGCTCTTGTTGTAATTGATCAATAGGCGTACGGTGGCCTGCAAAGCACATTCGGTAAAAGTGTGAGAAATCTGGTGTATGACTGAATCTCCTCTTTGACATTGAAATTATTTGGGCTGCAGTGTAATTGTTCAATGGCCAAAAGATAAAGGTCTGTTCCAAAGATTCAGTGGCAATAAGGCAAAAACCATGGAGGGTAACGCAAACGAAAAAAAAAAAAACACATGGAAAAAAATGTCTATGCAGTTATTTAACTCAGTAAGATGATTGTATTAACGCAAAAAGTTCACCTCGGGCACATAAGGCCTCTTGATTTTGTTCTCCATCCCGCCAGGTTTCAGTGCATCCGTCAAAACATTTGGAGTCAAATATTCTTCAGTAAAGTCGGTCAGGTTCAGATGGTTGTCTTGAAAAAAACTTTCTACTACTTTTAGCCCATCACCGCTATCCTAGAGAGAAAAGAAATGTTAAAGAACCAAATATAACAAAAAATAAAAATCCTTATTCTTATTCTAAGAAACCCATTCATCACAATGAAATGCACAGCTAATTATCCGAACGGAAGTGAATATCGTCTACCACGGGGATAGTGTGGAAAATTCATTCCAACATGCCAGTTTAGCAATGCAGTAAATCTCAATTCCAAATCAGATTACACTTCCTCCGAAGGAGGATTAGTGCCCTTTAAATGACTGTCTGTCCAATGTAGAATCCCTGCATTAAATACATCTCCATATTTCGTCAAGTGTACTCGGTGTCTGACCTGTATCAATGAGCAGCCTTTTAATCCATTGGTCCGTCTCGTTTTTTTTTCAAGTAAAACGTCCACGTGTATAAAATGAAATGAGAAAAATGGGCAAGCACAAGGGGTGTATCTCGGGTAATCCCTGTTTGCTATCAATCTGAAACCACGCCTCACTCTTTAGCATGTCTGAGCGCATGACTGTGGGGAGAGTGTTTCAAGGCTCCGCAGCATAGGATGGGAAGCCATTGGCAACCTGGCACGATTTATGAACGGTACATTTGATTGTTATTATTGGTTTCTTTGCCTTTTAAACAATTAACCGTTTCAGTGAACCCTCGCTAAAGTTGCGTTCTAAAATGAACCCGCGATAGGCGAAATCCGCGAAGTAAATCAGTGTAACTGCTCCTAAAAGTTTTCTTCCTCGTTTAGAAAGACTTGACGCGTCGATCAATGTCCAACAGTCTTCATTGTCCACACGTCCATCGCTGCTGAGCGCCATTTTTGAGTGAAAAGTTATGAGAAAAATATACAATTACACAAGGTACAACAGAACTACGTGCATCTCAACAACATAAAACACACATTAGTCATGGTCACATACCGTTTCACCTCAAACTGATGTAACTCTTAATGAACATTAACCACTTCATGCCACTCAATGCAATTCTCAAATATAACAGCAGGGGGCACAATTACCTAAATAAATCTCGTCTTTAGAAAATGACATACATTGTCATTTTATCATCATGTAGAAAGGTACATTATTTTAATATTACCATGAACTTAGAATCACGACAGTTGATCTCAGTTTAATTTTTTACAACTATTATACCATACAATACTGTACTATAGAATGAAATCAAATATCGAAACCTGTTTTTGTTGCAAATGTAAATTTGGTATGGGGCGCATCTTCTTGAGCCATCTTGTGAAAATTCCACTGAGGCAAAGTCATGTACCTGGCAAACTGATCTTTGACCACCTCTGTCAAAATGGATATGGTATGTATCGCCCACAGTTAAACTCCTGCTTCAAGAACGCTAAATTGCAACAAATCAAACGACCCCACTTATTTTTTATCTTTCGACAAATCCGGATTGAGTTGAAAAGATCCTTCCTTTAAGCAGAACAACGTTGCAGAAGCCAAAGGAGGCCCAATTTGTTACATCGCTTCTAATGAATAATGTAGCTTGTCACAGCTTGCTGCCAATTAGTTCTGTGTATTCAACTTCATACTGCAGCACTAATAGTGAACGCTCCTCTCCAAAAGTATTGGAACAGTGAGGCCAATTATCTATTGAAAAAAAAAAAGGAAAATGAAAGGCATTTAAAATGAATCAAGATCAAATTTCAGCTTATATGTCCAGGTACATTTATACAGATCTAAAATTTAGAAGTGCCACTAAGGTGGTGATACTTCGGGCTTTTTGTACAAACCCACCCATTTTTCTTGAGAGGAAAAAGTACTGGAACATTTGACTGACTTATGTATTGCCTGATACATAGCTTACAAGGATAAAATTAACCTTTGCCAAAGACACAGAAAGGCTAATGTGTTTGGGAAAGGAAAGGAAACACAGTGGAGGCAGTCAGTCACAAGTTGTTTCCATGTAACCACTTGGAAATCAAAACTCAAATAGCCCTGGCTCATATTCTTTTTTTTTCATTTTCATTCCCAAAACAAACAAAAATACTGCCAAAGTACAGACATTGGCCTCAATGCAGTAAATGCAGTCCATTTGTCATTAGGTTCTCGGACTTTGTTTACGCATGGCATTGGAACACAAATGCATTTGGAAATATTTTGGTCAGGAATTGTTTTTTGGGATTTGTGTAGCTGGTCGAAAATATCAGTTTTTTGGAAATGCATATACTATAATTAATATATTTTTTAAAAGCAAATTATACAGTAAGCTAAAAAAAAAAAACCTCACAAAAAGTGCATTAATTGCAGTGCTACCTGGTAAGGAAGGGAAGTGGCAAATAGAAAATAGGAACAGGGAGAACAGGAACAGTAAGCCAAGCGGTGCTGAAAAAAGAAAAACAAAAGAAAAATCCAGGAAGATACAGGAATAACAACGACTGTTTTTAAAGCATGTTATCAGCGGTGTCTATACTTGTTCCTCAAACGGTCACATACAGAAAAATCGATTGGTGCAAAAGGCCACATTGAAAACTTCATATTATTAAACACGCCAAAACCAAGCCATCGAGCAGTTACACAGTGGTAATATCCATCCATCTTTCTATTTTCAACACCGCTTATCCTATACAGGATTGCACGCCTCACTCTTTAGCATGTCTGAGCGCATGACTGTGGGGAGAGTGTTTCAAGGCTCCGCAGCATAGGATGGGAAGCCATTGGCAACCTGGCACGATTTATGAACGGTACATTTGATTGTTATTAGGTGTTTCTTTGCCTTTTAAACAATTAACCGTTTCAGTGAACCCTCGCTAAAGTTGCGTTCTAATGAACCCGCCATTCACAAAATAAATTGTCCGAATTTTCACACCCATAAGGGATTTACTGTGAATGTTTGTTTCACAAGCGGCACAACATAAAACACACATTAGTCATGGTCACATACCGTTTCACCTCAAACTGATGTAACTCTTAATGAACATTAACCACTTCATGCCACTCAATGCAATTCTCAAATATAACAGCAGGGGGCACAATTACCTAAATAAATCTCGTCTTTAGAAAATGACATACATTGTCATTTTATCATCATGTAGAAAGGTACATTATTTTAATATTACCATGAACTTAGAATCACGACAGTTGATCTCAGTTTAATTTTTTACAACTATTATACCATACAATACTGTACTATAGAATGAAATCAAATATCGAAACCTGTTTTTGTTGCAAATGTAAATTTGGTATGGGGCGCATCTTCTTGAGCCATCTTGTGAAAATTCCACTGAGGCAAAGTCATGTACCTGGCAAACTGATCTTTGACCACCTCTGTCAAAATGGATATGGTATGTATCGCCCACAGTTAAACTCCTGCTTCAAGAACGCTAAATTGCAACAAATCAAACGACCCCACTTATTTTTTATCTTTCGACAAATCCGGATTGAGTTGAAAAGATCCTTCCTTTAAGCAGAACAACGTTGCAGAAGCCAAAGGAGGCCCAATTTGTTACATCGCTTCTAATGAATAATGTAGCTTGTCACAGCTTGCTGCCAATTAGTTCTGTGTATTCAACTTCATACTGCAGCACTAATAGTGAACGCTCCTCTCCAAAAGTATTGGAACAGTGAGGCCAATTATCTATTGAAAAAAAAAAAAGGAAAATGAAAGGCATTTAAAATGAATCAAGATCAAATTTCAGCTTATATGTCCAGGTACATTTATACAGATCTAAAATTTAGAAGTGCCACTAAGGTGGTGATACTTCGGGCTTTTTGTACAAACCCACCCATTTTTCTTGAGAGGAAAAAGTACTGGAACATTTGACTGACTTATGTATTGCCTGATACATAGCTTACAAGGATAAAATTAACCTTTGCCAAAGACACAGAAAGGCTAATGTGTTTGGGAAAGGAAAGGAAACACAGTGGAGGCAGTCAGTCACAAGTTGTTTCCATGTAACCACTTGGAAATCAAAACTCAAATAGCCCTGGCTCATATTCTTTTTTTTTCATTTTCATTCCCAAAACAAACAAAAATACTGCCAAAGTACAGACATTGGCCTCAATGCAGTAAATGCAGTCCATTTGTCATTAGGTTCTCGGACTTTGTTTACGCATGGCATTGGAACACAAATGCATTTGGAAATATTTTGGTCAGGAATTGTTTTTTGGGATTTGTGTAGCTGGTCGAAAATATCAGTTTTTTGGAAATGCATATACTATAATTAATATATTTTTTAAAAGCAAATTATACAGTAAGCTAAAAAAAAAAAACCTCACAAAAAGTGCATTAATTGCAGTGCTACCTGGTAAGGAAGGGAAGTGGCAAATAGAAAATAGGAACAGGGAGAACAGGAACAGTAAGCCAAGCGGTGCTGAAAAAAGAAAAACAAAAGAAAAATCCAGGAAGATACAGGAATAACAACGACTGTTTTTAAAGCATGTTATCAGCGGTGTCTATACTTGTTCCTCAAACGGTCACATACAGAAAAATCGATTGGTGCAAAAGGCCACATTGAAAACTTCATATTATTAAACACGCCAAAACCAAGCCATCGAGCAGTTACACAGTGGTAATATCCATCCATCTTTCTATTTTCAACACCGCTTATCCTATACAGGATTGCAAGGTGTGGGGTTGCTGGAGCCTGTCCCAGGTGACTTCAGGCGGAAGGCCGACTACACCCTGAACTGGTTGCTAGTCAGTCGCAGGGCACCGAGAGGGGCGAACAACCATTCACACCCACATCCACACGGTCAGCGAGTGGGAACCGATACCGAGCTGCCCGCACACAAGTCAGGCGAGTGAACCGCGACACCGTCTGTGACTTATTGCGAATGTATTACAGTCACTTAAAAAATTGTTGCATGGCAGTGTTTGTTTAAGGTGGTAAAGCAAATCGTTTTTTTAGTGAGTGATAGTCCATGAAGAGAATAAATCCCACTTGAGTGTGTCAACGTAACCTATGTCAAATTGGCCAACCACCCCACTGAAAATTCTCGGGGGAAATATGTAGGCTGTCGTTTGTTTGTGTTCAGTTAATTTTTCATTTGGGCTGTTTTAGTTTTTGAGGTTTTAAAAATGATCATAAATAAATCAAATATTGGCTAGATTGACAATAATCTTAAGCTTGGTGATCTCCCGAAACCGCTGAACTCAATTGGGGAAGCTGGCTGTGATGACTTCAGTGGACAAGTGTGATATAATTTTGTTCAATAAACACTTGCAAGATTCCACAGTGTTCTTTAAATTACAACAGGGCTGTGCTACTATGCGTCTATTCGAGGGCACCTGACGACTTCAGATTTTCTCCTCAGCAGTTTTGTCCCGTTGGGTCACACCCTGCGCGGCTAACATCAGTTTAAAATGAAATACTGTGACAAGATAAGATCTGACAAAAAAAAGCCATCAAGCAGGAGTAAAGCACAGTCGCCCTGTTGGCGATTTGTATATATTTGTTTATTGTATTTATTTTCTCAAACAATTTTGCTTTCGTTGAATCTATACGACTAGGACCCTCGTGTCTACTCTTTTTACTTTCTTTCTTCCTTCCTCTCTCTGTGGTGACTCCTGGTGGGTTGCAGAAACACCAAAGGAAGTATGTATCCTCTTCGAATTCAGAAGAGAAGTTAAATCAGTTCTTTCTTTTTTCCAACACCAATACCTGGACGTGTACTTTACACACAGTGTAAGACTGGGTGCGGTTTTCAACTCTTAATGGATGTACTGAACACATCCAAGGGAACATTGTGACTGGTGGACACGCGGGGGGGGGACATTGACAGCAGCTCCATGACGCAATATGAAGAGCTTGCCAACAGGTGGCAACATTTCCTAAGGCAAAGCGAGTAGACTTCAACTGTATTTTGATTTTTTTTTAAATGTCCTCCGTGATTATACACAGCATGATAGCCCTTATCAGATGAAAATGTGCAAATAACCTTCGATAAATTGAATGTATTAAAAATGACAAGGGAAGATACCGTTGATATTATCGTCGGTATGTGTTTTTCTTCCATCTGACAGCAGGTGGACTTGTCGTCCTCGCGGGTGCGTTGTTGACGTCCTCGAAGGTTTCGTGTAATGCCACCATTGCACATCCATTGTGCTCAAGTCGAACCGACAGGAAGCGAGCAAAATTCGTTGAGAAGGCCTTGAAAGACACTAACGCCCGCTTCTGACGAGAGACAAGACATTCGTCTCTTTTTTGAGATAAGATTTCGAAATGTGTTTCATTTGTCTATTTTGTCCTGTCCATCAATCCGGTTTTAAGAAAAAGCGAAATATGAGCCGGGATTTTTCCTTAGGGGCCACTTGCGGAACGTCGTAGTAATGATGGTGAGTACCTGTCATCTTCTCCTTGACGTGTGACACCTTCGACTTGTCAAGTAGAACATTAGAAATCGTCCCTTATAGTCGCCAGGTGTAAATAACAGCTTAATCTTGAAATTATACACGTCAGTCATTAAGGTAGTCATTTAAAATTTAAGCCTGTCAGAGAGCTCCATGATGTTTGGTATTTTATGAAACTGCCTTAATGTGTGAAATCTAACGTCAACCTGTTGTGCGTGTGACAATTATGCGCGTGATGAGTCCTCAAGTCAGACAAACAAAACAAAACTAGAAAAATCACTTTCAAAGCACGGTTCTCTAATATATGCAAGCAATCATGACTCATCCATTTTGTCTTCTCTTGGCGAGGTGTAAATAAATAGAGGATAATATTGGATCATTGGCGAATACAAAATGGACGAAAAATAACACCGGGCTTCCTATATTAGCCATCCTGCCAGCCACCATTGCGTCAGGTCGAAATAAAACGTTGAGACAGAACCATTTCAATGACCTTGGGACTGCTGGTATTGTTATTCATTTAAAATAAAAGGCATTAGCCTGTTTTCCGACAAGTGGCCGCTCCCTTTTAGAGATGGATTGTGGGCAAATAGACCCACATCTGGCAAGGACACGCCCAGACTCCTTTCAGAGTTCCACTCGCGAAAGCATCTTCAAATATAGAATTGTCACATGTGCCGCTCTTATTGTTCATGCGGTGGTTTTGTGTTTACTTGTTTTGACTTGTTCGTGGTTCGTTATACCACTCCGTGGTTTAGGTAGGCTTGGCGTTGAACGACATGTGGTTTCCGGGCCTGGATTTGGACCTCTGTGTTTGCCACTAATTGTTGACTTCAAAGCCTCAGTTGGTTTTATGGCTTGGTCGTAAAGAAAAGGTTAAATGCGAAAGGGGCAAAAATGATGGCAATCAAATTCAAGCTAGTGGTCACCAACACTGTACCCACAGGGACTAGTTAAAACCCGCATGCCCGAGGGCCACTTTTACAAATGGCTCACGTGAGGGCACATTGTGATTTGCAAGGATTGGTGTAGAAGTGCTTGCTTGAAATGTAGCCACTTAATATATTAATAGGAAATTTGCTACACTTAAGCACTTGATGAAATGAAATTCAGTAAATTCAGCATCTTTTTTTCAATGTACTCTATTTTGAATCACATCAGATTACCACAGGATAACAGTGCGTGCTGTGTTCATGTTACACCACATCTACTGTTATTTTTTTAACAGTATACAGTACTACTTTATTTTGGATTACAGTACATGACATTAGGGTTGCTGCATTTTACGGTACACACCAGTTTAGGAATTAAATCTGCTATTTAATAAATCATGGAAATAGGAATAAGATGTTTCCTCTCCACCGCTTGACATAAAACTGTTTTATACTGTTAAATTGCATTTTTTTTTTATTCTTAATCAAGCATGACCTGTTAATTTAATCAAACCCGGAATCAAACATACAACCTCTGTGCTGTGAGGCGGATGTGCTAACCAGCCAATAACAGTGCTGCCGTTGCAGTTCTGATTCCGACTAATTTTATTGTACAAATTGACCAACAAATTGCTCATCTTGGTTTGACTTCTTCAATTCATCTCAGAGCAGTTGTTCTTGTTAATTCCATTGTATAAATCTCTTCTAGTAACCAGGAGACTCAGAAAACAACATTCAGAGACCAAAATATTCATGAATATTTTTGCAAATAAAGTGAACTATGGGGCCAAGGGACATATGACCTCAAGTAAGTAGAGACCATCTTCTGAAACTTTCATAAAAGAGACACATATTTTTCATTAGAAAAAACAATCACAAAAAGTATTTGCAGTTCTTGACTGAAATTACATCAACCAAATTTAATCATTGATTTAGATGAACACAAAGCTATTATTTTGTCTTTTGAATGGCAACAGGTGGATATACAGGTTCATGGTACCTTTTGCCATGCATTGGAATAGCATTCAATTGTTCTGCTTGTCACTACAAGATGCTGGCATAGCTAGTCAAACTACACACAACAAAGATACATTATTTGTAGTAAATGTCTAGTAATTCCAAGACCAATTAAGTGAAATTGGATAATTTACTGGGGAACACCCTATGAGCGACCACAGCACGGTCGGTACGCATGACTGCTCCAGCATATCATCAATGACCACAATTACTACTTTTTTATGATGTCATTTGAATCTGTGCCCATCCAATTGGACCTGTAAAACTACTGTCGTCACTTTTTCCCCTCCCACCTAAACCCAGCAGACTTAAAACAGTCCATTTTCTGAATTCTTTACTCACATCTCCTCACACGCCTTGAGAAAAACTCTGCTTTGAATGCCAATGTGACAACAGCAATTCTTCCACAAAGGACTTCACAACCTCAAACTTTTGAGTTAGAAGAGTACATGCATGACGTCGCTTCTTTCATTCATCAGCACAGCACTGCACACAAGGGGCTATCATGTCGTGCCTGTCACGTCTTAATAAGACGGTCTGGGTGTCTGGTAGGCTGCGCACAGATGCCGCACAGAAGGCGGAAGCCCGTCTGTGACGCACGTCAGGTTAAATCCCTCCATTTACATATACTGTATTTGAGTCTTGATGTGTACTTTGCCACGTCCGTGGCCATCTCACTTAACTAGCGCCGTTTGCTTTTTATAAAGGATTGTGTGTGCATTTTTGGAATCAGTCAGTGTTTGAAACTTGGCAATTTTTAATGGAAAGACATTTCTGACCACTCTAGTCAAAAAAAGTGACTGTTGACTTGAATTGTTGGGAAGAAACAGACCATATCAGGGGAATTATTTTGGCAAGATCGGTGTAAATTCCACTGTGATTATTTTTTATTTTTTATTTTTTTTTTTGCCGCACACAACACACAACGGAACATACAGTATGTGCCAGTCAACATCATCAGAATTGGAATGTGCAATTTTATGTAGCATGTACGGTATGATATCGCACAACCCAACTGATAACCCTTCATTTCCTTTTGTGTTGCAGCTCCCTAATCCAACTGAGCTACTCTCGCCCTAAAGGAGCAGGATGACAAAATGGCCCAGTTGCTGGTACCGCCTGGCCCTGACAGCTTTCGCCCCTTTGTCCCGGAGTCTCTGGCCGCCATTGAAAGGTGCATCGCCGAGGAAGAGGCTCGGAGACCGCGGGGAGATCGTCGCAGCGACTGCGACGATGAAAACGGGCCCAAGCCCAACAGTGACTTGGAGGCTGGAAAATCACTCCCTTTCATCTATGGTGACATTCCTCCCGGTTTGGTGTCCACTCCTCTGGAGGATTTGGACAGCTATTACAGCAATCAGAAGGTCTGTTGGAATCAATCACGAAATTATCTGACCCGCTAGTTTCTGTTCAGGGGCTGGGGAATGGATGTAGTTGAAATTTGATAAAAACGAGTGCAGTGGCACCTTGAAACACTGTGTGAATGCCCCAAATGGCATCCAATTTGGAGTACGGTAAACCTCACAGGGGAAAGGGGACTGGGCCATTCCATGAATAATGAAAAACTGTGAGTAATTAATGCCTCCCTAAAAATGATTAGAATTGCAGATATCAAATCACTCAAACCTTGAAACTATGACCCCAAAACACTTCCCTAACCTTCAGCAGGAGGTCATTCCAAAGAGAGGGACCACCAATGGAAAAGGCTTGATTCCCTCTGACCCTCCGCTTAGTTCTCGGTACCTCTAATAATGTCTAGTCCGCAGACCTGAGGCACCGGGCAGGTGCGGAGGAGCTCAGAGAGGTAAGGTAGGGCGAGGACAGTTAACGATTTGAATCAAATAATAGAATGTTAAAAAGAACTCTAAAATGAGCCGGTGAAAGGATGCCAGAGTAGGGGTTATGTGCTCCCTCTTACGAGTACCAGTCACGATACCAGCAGCAGCAGCAGCAGCATTCTGGACCACCTGGAGACGCTTCATGGAGGATCGTCTGACTCCAAAGTAAAGCGAATTACAGTAACCCGCCTGAGACGTGACGAAGGCATGAATGACTGTTTCAAAGTGCTCTTGAGCAAGAAGAGGCTTTACTTGAGCAAGCTGCCTAAGAAGCTGGATTCCACAACGGCACCAATTTGCCGGTGCTTTTTAAAATCACTGTCCAGTTCAAGACCGAACGTACATAACGAAATTCAATGTCTTCACTACTTTTTGTCTCCTATTCAGACCTTCATAGTACTGAATCGTGGGAAGGCAATCTTCCGTTTCAACGCCACTCATGCCTTGTATATTTTAAGTCCCTTCAACCCGCTTCGGAGGATAGCTATTAGAGTTTTAGTCCACTCATATCCTTTTCAAGTGTGTTATTGACAGTGTTTCATATAGATTGAAGTGTTGATCAGACAAGCTGTTGTGGAAGCGCTATATAATTAAGGATACATTGTAAAATGAGATTGAGCTCTTTTGAATGTCAAAACGTGACTGGCTTCGGCGTATCAGGATTTTACAGTCACTGTGCATTTAAATGCAAGTGATGAGGAAACTGTATATCAGTGGTTCTTAACCTGGGTTCGATCGAACCCTAGGGGTTCGGTGAATCGGTCTCGGGGGTTCGACGGGGAGCCTCTGCCATGGAGGTTAAGACACACACGACTCATGTTTTCCATTGTGTTCCTTGACTCTTGTGTTTCAACGATGTTCAGCATGTTGATCATGTTCACCATCCTAACCAACTGTGCTTTCATGACCCTAAGTAACCCTCCGGAATGGGCCAAGAATGTAGAGTAAGTCCCTTTTCTCTCTTTCCAATTGAGTCA